AGAGCCACAGGAGCCGGTAATCCTGAATCTATCGAGGATGGGGCAGTGGCACTAGGATGCGGTTTTCGTGTCAACAGGTGTGTTGGAATGGTCGCTCAGGAGGGGGGGTATCCTGAGGACAGGACGAGAAGGCGGGGGCACGGAGGGCTGGATGCTCAACGACCCGAGTGTTAAGATCGTTACACTAGAAGAACGGGGCGAGCCAATGAATTTCGGGAGGGACATGTGGGTGCTAAGCCACCTTAAGTACCCTCTAGCCTGGGTAGCAGAAAAAATCAGGATGCATACCGTGGGGAGGGAGGGGTACAGAGACGAGGTGTTCCTGAGGACGGCAGGCCTCGTCGACATTCATGACCCGTCTAGCAAAATTATCTTCGTGGTGCCGACGGAGTCCACGATGGACGTGACTTTAGGGGATCACACCTACGCGGTGGTAATAACAAACCACAGGGGGGAGGTGCCTAATGACAGGGAAATACCTGTACACAACCTCGACGATGCCATAGGCAATATGGTGGAGAGAGCGCTAGAGCATAATGGCTCGTTACGTCAAGCTTTTAGCAATTACACGGCCGGGTATTTTCCAAAAGGTGTAAACTGGCAGGAGATCAACTCTCTGTCAATCGCACTAACGGTGCGGTGGCACCAGAAAATAGAGGGGGTAGAGCGGAACGGGCGGGTGAGATATCTTGGTGCGCCCAGGGACATACTTGTCCACATGGGGTTGAGGCCGGACGAGAATGTGACCTGTAGGTCATACGAATGTTACGGGGGTAGGTCCGCAGTGAACTCGCTGGACCAGAGGTTTGTACCGAGAAGGAAAGCCAGGGAAAACCCCATGATGATGATGGGCAGCTGGGGCAATATGGCGAGCCTGGCCGTGGCAACAGGATATGCCACTTTCGACACCAGAAACGTAGAGAAGAGGGAGGCCACGATAGCGCGGTGCTACAGTGGTGGATTGGACCGGTTAAGCAGAGCGGCTCATTTACGCAAGGGAATGGAGCAATTCAAGAGGGCAATGGCCCAAACTGAAAGAATAGCCTTCCCGAACGAGGTCGACTTTTGCATGGACTACTGGCCTCGATTGATCAAGGACCCAAGGGCGGAAGGGACATGCATGGACTGGTTTACCAGGTACACGATTACACCCCACGTGACCTGGAGCTGGAATATGAATTGCATCGGCAACATAGGAGGAATAGGTACGATGACGGGTACCAGAATACCGTCAAGCTGGAATCGAACCATCGAGAACACCGAATGGTCTAACTTCTCAATTAGTGGGACAGGGCGCCCGGGAAACGACGCCTATGCATTTGATGATACACATAGATGGTCATTCAACCACTATAGACAATTTGGACACGGAGACGATGATTGGCAACTCGAGCAGGCCCTATGCAGGTTGGACCTTTTGAGGCCCGATGCTAGGTGGGGACTAGTCTACGAGAGTCACCCTGGATATGAAAGACTGACGGGTTATAGTTTCCTGGTAGATTCTAGCTACGGGGGCAGATTAGGCTGGGAGCTAGGATGGGTGGAGCAGGGAATGATACAACCGACTCTCGATAAGTGGGGCTGGGGAATCCAGGTCTGTATAAAAGATTACAGACGCAGGTGGTTAAAAACACTCGTCATTCCGAAGGGCACAGCCGGGACATTGTGTGCGAACCAATTCTCAGAGGGAACGATCTTATTCCGAGGCAACAGAGATGGAAGTGTTACCGGTGTGATGCAGCACTACCTGGGGGATGAAAGAGGGTTTGACCCCGCCTATAAAGAAAGAGAGGCCCCGGTAAAAGGGATGCCTGTCTCCGTAGCGCCCAGCGGAGGCAGGGATGCGGAAATGAGCAGGGAGGAGGAGATCCTCCACCTGCAGAGAAGAATGGAAGAACTTTGCCTGGGGAGAGCGGCCCCGGAGAGGATGCGAGACAACTACGAGGATCCAGATGCACCGCTGGACGAGGAGAAGGACAGGGTAGCCAGGCTGAAGAGAGGACCGGCGATGACTACACCCTCGGGCGCTGTCGAGCCTGTGGTCACAAGACCGGCTGGATTGGAAGAGCATGGCGCGAGGGAGGATCAAAGTACCTTGAGTGCGGCTGCGGAACGGAGGAGGGAGTAGTGTGGGAGCCACCTGCTAGGATATGGCCCGAATGGGTCTGGTCACCTCTCTTGTTCAAATTGAGGATGGAGGAGGAAGTTAATGCGATAAAGAAAGAGATGGGAGTACGTTTGGATTGTGGGTGTGGGAAACCGGCATGGTCGGCAGAGTATGATGACTTTGCCAAAAGGAACGTGAAAATGTACTTGAATTGTAGAGATAAATGTGGGGGTTGTGCACTCGGCAAGGGCTTACTCGAGGACGGCGTGCATCTACTAATCAGGAGTGCTTACTTAAGGAGGGGTGAGGCTATGCTGTGTAGGTACCGAAGTTTAAGGAAACGTTATCCGGGGGCGTGTCGGCACGGAATTTGCAAAGTGCTAAAGAAGGAAACAGGCTTCTTAAAAATGGGGGGTACAAGAGTTACACCCTATTGGAGAGAGTACTGTTATTGGGAGACGAGCTACGGGTACGTGCCATATAAGGAAAGCGAAGAACTTTGGGATGAAGTAAGGAAATGGCTATGCACCAGCCTAGAGCTGGGGGGCCCGATGGGTGAGAAAACATACATGGCAAGATTAGCAGAGGAAACCCGAGAGTTCATGCGGAGTGAGTGGACATTACCCACTCGGATCCCAACCATCAGCGAGTGGGTCAAGACAGGAAAATGGCTCGAGGGGAGAGCTGGTACGGGCCAGAAGATCGAGGTATATGTGGACGGGAAGAGGAACAGACTAGGATCAAAACCAGCGGAAGGAGTGATCATGAGTGACAAAGCGGTGGAAGTTGATCTCGTAACACCAACACAAGAACAGATGGTTGTGTTACAAAAGAGCGAGACAATGAAGGTAAGGCCCGTAGTCAAAACGGGAAACCAGGTGAATAGGAAGATGAACTATCTATCTACCTACCTGGAGACCGGGCTGCATGGCAGCAGGCTGAGCACTCTATTCGCTGGGGAGATTGGGAATGAGGCAATAGATCTGGACCTCATCCATGCAGTAAGGCAAAAAGATCTGCTTAAGGTTCCGCTCGACCAGGGAGGATTCGACCAGCACCAGAGCAAAACATCGATCATGGTGGTGCTGAAGGAGGTGGGTGAACATATTAGTAGTATGGCAAAAGACACAGAGTTTGACGTGGTATGGGCTGCGCTCTGGGAGTCTCTCTTCGTTCACGGTGCTGTCGTCAAGTGTGGAGACCACAGAGGCTTTTGGCTGAACGGTCTTCCATCGGGATGGCGTTGGACAGCAGTACTGGACACAATCCTCAACGTGTGTTCATTCCGAGCACTGGCTCGTATAGCGATGGAGAGAATCAGTGAGAGGCCCTACATTGGAAATTTCTATGCTCAGGGCGATGACGTCATCTTTTCGTCGAATTCTCTTACGTTCGTCAGATACCTCATCGACACCTATGGCCAAGTGGGTTACGAAGTGCACCCGCTCAAAACGTATATCTCCACATGGAGAGGTGAGTTTCTGCGCCGGAGCTACGAACCAACAGGGGTAACCGGGTACGTAGCAAGGAGTATGATTAACATCAGGTTTAAGAACCCAGTCCAGGAATCACCAATAGATGTCCACGAGCGCGTCTATTCTACGTTGAGCCAGTGGCATCTGGTGGGCTTGAGAGAAGCGAATGGAAGCGAATGTGCGAAGATCTTCCTTGAGAATATGGAAGATAAAGGATTAAACAGGAAAGTGGTAGCGTCCTACGCGATAACGCCAAATGCAGTTGGGGGTTGTGGCCTAGACCCAGCAAGTGGGATGGGCATACATATGGCGGAAGAGAGCGACGGATACTGGTACACGGCGGAAGTGTACAAGGAAATGAGACCATTGGCGATTAAGCTAGGATGCTGGGAGAGGCGGATACGTGACACGGGCTGGGTGCCGTCGAGGGGCAGGGATGATGAGACCCGGATAGGACTGGTCAAGAGTTGGGGTGTCCGGGAGTCCGTGTTGGTGAAGAAGGTAGAGGGACGTTTTGTCCGGATAGAACCCAGAGAGCCGTTACGGATAGACGGGCCGGGGATGGTGGAGGTCGCCGACAAGTTCTGGGAACTTGAGGCAGTGCCGGTACAGCTCCACGGTGCGTTAAAGAGGGATGTGGTGGAGAGGAAAGAGGAAGATAAGTGGATGAAGCCGGGCGCAGCGCTAATCGCCAAGTATCTGCGCTCGAGGATGAGCCTCCGTGTATATACCGGATATATAACGGGAGCGTGGGAGTACCCAATGCCACTAGTGGATAGGGTCGGACCGCGTTACGGAGGAGAGATCAAGAAGTGGGGAGACATGATGTTGAGGAGAGCGTTGAGCACGAGGGACATAGGACTCGCGAGACTGGAGAGATACATGCTCTGGCTCGAGATTCAGATGACGAGGACGTCCGTTTCCGGAGCGTGTAGTGAAGGAGTGAATTTGCGAAGTTGCGAGAGTGAGAGTGAATATTGGGTGGAAAGGGAGAGGAGAGGTGAGAGAGCAGGGCGTGTGGAGGTAGGAAAGGGGTGAGGATAAGGGTGAGAGTATAGGGGAGTAGGAAAGTGCAGGGAGTGGAAGGAAAAAGGGCTGGAAGAAGTGAAGTGAGGTTAGGGACAGGAGAAGGCAAGCGGGAGGAGAGGGGTGAAGGGAAGGTGGGAGACAGACAGTTAGGAAAGGAGGAACGGGGAGGGACGGTGGTGACATCGGACGGGAGCAGGGAGAAGCGAGCAAAGCGATAAACGGTGGAAGAGAAAGTAGAGGAGAATAGAAAGCGAGGGTGAGCAGGTTGGGAAAGGAGAAAAGGAAAGGGTAAGGAAGCGAGAGATCAGAGGGAGATTGAAAGGGCAGGAAGAGTGGAGAAAAGAGAAGAGGAGTAGAAGGAAGGATAGGAAGAAGAGAAAAAGAGGAGCATGGAAAGAAAGGAGGAAAAAGCGGAGGGGGGAGACGAAGAGGCGAAGAAAAGGGGTAGGAAAACGAATGCGGAAAGGTTGATGAGGGAAAGGGGAGCCTCATTAGGGAGCTATGGGGACCTGAGCGAAATATGGAAAAGAAAAAGACAGATAGCGGAGGAGGAAGAGCAGGAGGAGCAGGAGGAAGAATGGATGTTCAGGAAAAGCAAAAGGGTGGTGAGATCGCCGGAAAGTAAGGTCGGGGGGGAAGGGAACATGGAGGAACTGTTGAGAGAGTGGAGGGAATGGCGGAAAGAAGCGAAAAAAGACATGGGAGAACTAAAGGAGAGGATGGAGGCAGTGGGAGAGGAGGTGGGAAAGATAAGGGAGGATATGAGAAGAGGAGAGGAAAGATGGAGAGAGGAGAAAGAGAGGATGGAGAAAAGGCTAGGAGAGGCGGAAAGGAAGATGAGAGAGTTAGAGGGGGCGAAGAAGAGGATGGAGGAGATAGAAAAGAGGGTAGTGAACTTGGAAAGGGAGAGAGGAAGGGAGGAAGGGGGGACGAAGGGAGGACGGTGCGAGGTGGAACGGGAAGAGGGGGTGGTGAAGAGGCTGAAGGAGATAGAGAAGAAGTTAGAGAGAAAGGAGAAGGAGGTGAAGAGAAACAATATTATAATAAAGGAGGCGGAAGCGGAGGGAACAGCGGTGCAGGTTGTAGAAAGAATAATGGCAAGGATCGGAGTGAAGGGGGGGATAGAGGGAGCAAGGGAACTGAGAAGAGTAGGAGAGGGGGGAAGGGGGAGGATGATAGAAGTGAGGCTAGAAAGCGTAGAGAAGAAAAGCGAAGTGATGAGGAACAAGTGGAAGTTGAGGGGGAGGAGGGAGAGGGTAGAGGAGGATTTAACATGGGATGAGAGAAGGATTCAGTGGAAGCTGAGAAGGATAGGAGACGAGGAGAGGAGGAAGGGGAGACAGGTAAGGGTGGGGTTGGGGAGGATCGTGGTGGAGGGAAAGGTATGGGTGTGGGACGAGGAACGGGAAACAGT